CTATTTGGGAGTGGAGACCCAGGGTGGGCTGGGGGGCACAGTCAGCAAGGGAGAAGGGGGAGCCCTTGGTGGGGAGTGGCTAAAGGTGGGGCTGATGGATGAGGCTGGTCCCTGAATGAGGCCCAGATGGATCCCTGAGCATCACCAGGAGTGAAATCTGAGCTCAGAGCCAGATATAACCCCTGGACATCCGCCCCGCCCCGCCAAAAGACCTAGTGCACTTTGCAGTGACTCCTTGGACAGAGTTAGAGATGTGGTTTGCAATTCTCAGCAGGTCAAAGCAAGGAAAGAATCAACAAGCTTCCTCATCCAGAAAACACAAGCACCCCTTGTGGGCAAGAAAGCGTCAGCAACCTCCAAGATTTCTGAGCCACGCTAGCAGAGCCTGCAAACTCCAGAGGACGTAACTGTCACAAAATATGCCAGAGCTGCGTGACAGACCCACGAGATGCCAGACACTTCTCTCAAAATTCGAGTAAGAGATAGACACCAGGGTACCCTGCCCGGCAGCAAAGAGCCACACAGGAGAGCATCGTCAGTGCTAAAGCGGTGATCCCGGAACTGGGATTGTAACGAGAACCTTGGAAGGCCCCAGACAGCCACCACTCCTTGGTGCTCGCTCTCGGACACCCCTCCTAGGTCGAGTCCTTCCTGCTGTCACTCCCGGAAAAATGTCCGCCTCTTCGCTACTTTGAGTATCACATTCGATAGTCCGGGCGAGCTCGGATGATCCAGGGACCAGGCGACACCGCTCATGCCGCAGGGTTGTCCCCCGGCCCTGCTCTGTAACCCGCTGACCTGGTCTTCCATCATGAGACACTGTCCCTAAAGACAGCAGCACCAAGTGACAGGCAGGTTGGGGCGGGGCGGGGGGGGGGGGCGCATCTCGCAGAGCGTCCAGGGTGAGTAGGAAAGGTCCCAGGCTCCAGGAGATCCTGAAGGCAAGAGCTGCCTCCAGGTAAGGGGACAGTCACCCTCCCAGAGGGGCGAGATTCAATACGCCGCCGTCTCTGTCTCTTCCTGTCTTCTGCTTCAGGGATTGACTTGGGCTCTCCTGCTCCGCAGGACTGGGGCCCAGTCTCCACACAGGGAGTCCATCCCTGTGTCCCTGAGCCGGACGGACACCAGCATCTGAGCAAATTACAGGGCCGGGCCCAAATCTGGGAGCAAAATGCCCCAGCGATCAGGTTGCATAGAGCAGGAGCTGATGGAAAGAGAGGGGCCCACGGAACTCGTGCCCACAAAAGACTCCAGGAGCTGTGAGATGCTGGAATCAGTGCGAGGGGACGGAGCCAGCCCTATGTGGTGTCCTCCCAATGTGGTCCCCAAACTTGTTCTACCTGACTCTGCAGCCACCCACGTGAGCTCTGTTGCACAGACTCTGTTACTTGGGGCCCTGGGGGGGGGGGCACAGCGGAGCATGCCATCTGCCACAGCCAGGTGTGTACAGGAGAGAAAGAGTGTGTCACCATCCTGGGGAGCATGTGTGTCAGCCCACAATAACCCAAGCATGTACAAAAGCAACACAGCAAGCATATGAGTTTCCAAGTCAAAGATTCTGAAGCATCCCCCCAAACTCATCATTGAGATGGGGAGGCTGAGAGATCGCATAGGAGCAAAGGGGTTTGCCTGGCACGCGGCTGACCCCGCTTCCATCCCCGGCACCACATAAGCCCCTGAACACTTCCAGGAGTGGCACAGTCAGGTGTGGTCCCCAGGCCCCCAAAATATAGAATGCTGGGGCTGGACTGATAGCACAGCAGGTAGGGCATTTGCTTTGTACGCAGTCAACCCGGGTTCGATTCCCAGCATCCCATATGGTCCCCTGAGCACCACTAGGAGTAATTTCTGAGTGCAGGGCCAGGAGTAACCCCTGTGCATCGCCGGGTGTGACCCAAAAAAAGCAAAAATAAAAGTTAAATCTATATCTATCTATCTATCTATCTATCAAGAGATAATACCAGTCCTCCCGTTGTTCATCGATTTTCTCGAGTGGGCCCAGTAACATCTCCATTGTGAGACTTCTTGTTACTGTGTTTGGCATATTGAATACTCTCAGTAGCTTGACGGGCTCTCCAAGAGGGGCGGAGGAATCGAACCCGGCTTGGCCAGGCTGGCTGCGCACAAGGCAAATGCCCTACCGCTGTGCTATCACTCCAGCCCATATATAGATATATATTGCAAATAAATAAAAGGGGGTCCTTTCCTTCTGGGGATAAGAACAGTCCGAATGGGAGGGGACAGTGGTGGCTCTCTGAGAAATGTGGGGTGCAGGGGACTGTCTAGTATGGAAAAGGATTAGGGTGGGGGGCACCACATACTATCTCCTGAGCACTGCCAAGAGTGATCCCTGAGCAGAGAGCCATCCACAAACAATCTGAAAATGGCGCCAGTGTACGGAATCAGGAGGTACAGCCAGAGAAAATGGGGCAATCTCAGCTTCATCAACTTCCACAATGCTGGCGCCACAAAATGTGTAATCACGAAAGGAGCAGCATGCCCTATCTCTCCGCCAGCACATTCTGTGGTCTCATGCCGCTTCCCTCTCCCTGGGGAGGTCAATGGCGATGGGCAGGTGAAGGAAGAAAACGAGAGCCAGACTGGTTGGTGTCAGTTGCAGTTCATTCCAATCTCATCTCCATTCACTTCTCAGTCTCCTCTTGCTTCATCCTCCCCCAAGCTACTTCATTCTCCTTCTCGATCCCCCTTCATTCTCCTTCTCACTCTGGATTCCCTTCCTCCTTCTGGCTCTGGATTTCCCGGCCTCCTCTTACAGCCGTGTTAAATCCAAAAGCATGAGGGGTTGGGGCATACACATAGGTATGGTCACAATCAATAGGGGTAAAGTTCTTCCCTCAGGGGAAGATTCTTCTAGGACAGATTCTCATCCTGCAAGATGGCCCTCCCAAGACTGAAATTCCAAGTATGGGTGGTTTCTCTTTTCCTTAGTCCAACAAACATTCATTCATGATATTAGTCATTTTGTATGGACACAGTAAGAGATACATCACTATCACTATCACTATTCTCCCATTGTTCATCGATTTGCTCTAGTGGGCCCAGTAACATTGTGAAACTTGTTACTGTGCTTGGCATATCGAATACATCACGGGTAGCTTCCCAGGCTTTGCCATGTGGGCAAGATACTCTTGGTAGCTTGCCCGGCTCTCCAAGAGGGGCGGAGGAATCGAACCCGGGTCGGCTATATTGGCTGCGTGCAAGGCAAACACCCTACCCGCTGTGCTATTGCTCCAGCCCCAAGAGATACATAAGCTTATAGAATTGCTCTCCTAGGGTCATCTCAATCTCAGACTACAGTGCTCAGGCCAGATTAGTCTTTCCTATCCCTAGCAGGGTCCTAGTCTTGTTGTTACTTTTGGATCATGACAGCATTTGTCCATGACCATGCTCTCAACTTATAGTTGAGTATCGTGGCACTTTGACCTGGCCCATTTCAATGCCAGGGTAGCTCACAGTTTGCCTTGGGTCCATTCAGTCCCTCGTCAGGACCCTGCTTTTGGGGTGCTAGGAACTAAGGGCAACTGAGGCTTAAGTTGAGAAAAAAGATGCTCAGGACTGAATAATATTTGAAGCCAATTAAATCCCAAGTTACAAAAGCATAATATTAACTGCCTTCCTGTGTTTATACAAAAAGGACATTGCTTTAAAAAGTTAACTATTCAAAAGACATAAGGAGATGAGAAAGGCAATAATGTCTTACAATACAAGTTCCATGTCCTAGAAGGCTCTGACTTTAGAAATTAACAGAACCTGATTAGGGGAAAACGCTGGTTGACTGGTTGGGGAGGAGAGCATAGAGAAGACCTTACAGATAAAGGAATAGGAGTGACTCGGGGGCACTGTGATGGGCGTGACTCAATGAACCTCAGTTCCCTGTGGCAAGGGAGAAAGGACAAACCAATGTCAGGCCTGAAATATTTAGAGCTATATTCCAACAAGACCCCAGTCCCCACCAGAGAACCCATCCTAAGCCAGCAGGAATATACACAAACACACACAGACACACTCTCCTACACATTCACACACACAAACTCACACAGGTAGACACAAACACACACAGACACACAAACACACACTCACACACATAGACACAAATACACACACATACAAACACACACACCAGAACATGCACACACAGGCACACACACACACATAGACACAAACACACACAGGCACACTCTCACACAAACATACACACACGATTACACTCACACACTCATATACACAGACACACAAACACCCACAGACACAGACACACACACAGAGCTGGACTGTGGGTAACTGCATCCTCCCAGCTTCTCTGTGCTTTCTTGCCTCTGGTCTGTCCCCCGGGGGCCTTGGGGATCGGAGCCGTGGCCCTCAGCACCCAGCCCCCATCTGAGTGCTGGGGACTCAACCCTCAGCTGCTAGTTGCCCTGAGCCGGGGGAGCGAGGCCCGACGGGGACAGAAGGCGACAGCAGCTTCGGGCCACTGTCGGAGGAAACTCTCACCGCCGCGCGCGCGGGCGTGCGGTGCATCTCCTGCTCCGTCCTTCCGCGCTCGGGCGGGCGCAAACCCAGAAGGGCTGCGGGTACCCGCGGGGTGGCGGTGGAGGGGGCTCCGGACCTGGAGAAGGGGGAGGGTGTGCACAAACCCCAGTTTCAAAGCCCAGGGCTGCGGGCGCCGCCGCCCGCCCGGAGTTGGCGTCCGTGTGCGGCCGGGAGGGGGGTGGGATGGGTGCGCGGCGGAGAGGGGGCGGGAGGGGGGACAGGACACTCATCCCTGTCATCCCTGGGCCAGAAGATGGATGGTGTTCGGGGGCCGCTCGCCCCGGCGCCGCGGCTGGTGGCGGGGAGACGTCAGCGCGCGCGGGTCGGGGCTGGGCGAGCCCCCGGCGCCCCCTCCCTCCCCCGCCCCCCGGGCCGCCTATAAAGTCGGGCGGTGGCGGCGCGGGCAGAGGCGCGGGCGGCGGCGGCGAGTGCAGGTCGGTCCGGTCCGGCCCGGCTGCTCGGCCCCGCGCGCGCCCCCCCGCACCCGCCCCGCCGGGGCCATGCGCGTCCGGGAACTGCGGCTGGCGTTGCTGGCGCTCGTGCTGTGCCAGGCGGCGCGCGGACCCGCCGCCCCGCTGCCCGGCCCCGGGGGCCCCGCCTTGGCCAAGATGTACCCGCGCGGCAACCACTGGGCGGTGGGTGAGTGTCCGGCGAAGTCGCCCAGCCCCGGGGCCCGGGTGGGCTGGGGACCCGGCACCCCGTTTCTCCGCCGTTTCTGGAGTCGGGCTTGGCGGGTGGGGGTGGGGGGCACACCCGGGGTAGGGGGGGAGGTTGCTCTTCTCCCCTCGGACCCCAGAGCCGACCCCGATGTCCTCAAACTCCGTTCTGCCTCCCTTTCGCCCTCGTTTCTTCCCCAGCGAGGGTCCCCAGCGGGCGCGGCTCTTCCTGACACCCAGCCGACCCTCGGTCGAGCTGCGCCCCCAAGTCCGCCTTCCCTGCACCCGGGACGCTTCGCCCCTGGGACGGCTTTGGGGACCAAATCCCCTTCCCGAGCGGAGACTGTTCCCCTGCGCCCGCGCCCCGCGCCCCACAAAGCCACAGGTGTTTGAGAGCAGAGCGGGGAGGCTAGGTGAACCGCCCGCTGGGGGCCGCCAGAAGGTTCTCGGTCCCTCTCGGCCCTTTACAGAGACCTTCGCTCCTCTTCAACCCCAAGAGGCCCTGTCTTAGTCCATTAGACACCCCGAGAATTGTAGATCCCCACTTCTAAGCAGATCTGCCTTTCTCCTCTCCTCTCCTCTCCTCTCCTCTCCTCTCCTCTCCTCTCCTCTCCTCTCCTCTCCTCTCCTCTCCTCTCCTCTCCTCTCCTCTCCTCTCCTCTCCTCTCCTCCCCTCCCCTCCCCTCCCCTCCCCTCCCCTCCCCTCCCCTCCTCTCTTCCTCTTCTCCTCCTCCTCTTCTCCTCTCCTCCTCCTTCTCCTCTCCTCCTCCTCCTCCTCCTCCTCTTCCTCCTCTTCATCTTCTTCCTCCTCCTCCTTCTCTTCCTCCTCCTCTTATCTCCCACTCTGCACCCCACAGCCAGTCCTGCCCCCCAACTCCTTCCTTGGAGTTGCAGTGGTCCGGTTCCCCAAACCCCAGTGTGTAGTGGGGAGGTGGGAAGGGTACCTCAGCCTAGTGGAGGGTAGGGGTGCCTCTTGGGGTTCTACCTCGGGGCTCTCTGCCTTTATGAACTTGGACTCTGGCCACTACAGAGTGTCCAGCTTCCTGAGTATCCCTCCCTAGAGCCAAGGATGAACACCCCTACATCCATGCCTTGAGGGGTCCTTACAGAGTAATAAAGCAGGTTTGTGTGTGTGAATTTCTGTGGTCCCAGAGTGGGAAGGATTTCCGGGGAGGCACCTGCCGATTCACCATCAACCGAATCCCAGATTTCAGGGAGCTGGGGGGCCAGGCAGGGGAGGGTGGAAGGGGTGACGGTGAGCCTTCCGTCCCTTCAAGACAGAAGGCTGCTTCCACCATTGAAGACACAAACTGTAAAGCCCATTCTTGGGAGGGGCTTCTGGAAGCTTCAAGTCAGTGGCATGTCCTGTGCTGCCCCCAGCCTGGGCAAGAACTTCGGGGGTCCCGCCTCTTTTTGTCCGTTTTTGTACTAAAAAGGGTAGCTGGTTTCAGACCTGGAAGGGGACCTGGCGTAAACTTCCAAGCCAGAGCTGATGCCCGCCAACCCCCAGGCCATGGGTCAAAGGCAGGTCTGTCCCCAGACTCTTAGCATGTCGCATTTGAGCATACTTTGAGGTCTTGTGTGAGCATCTGTGGCCCAGAGGGTCCCTGACAGTGACAGCTCAAAGTTCCTTCTCGTCTTGCCTCTGAAACACGCTGTGTTTCTCCTTATTGCCCTCGGCTGGCTGCAGAGCTGGGAGAGGAGCAGGGACAGAGAGGGGGGAGCCGAGGGCCACATTTGGGTCTAAAGAGACGTTAAAGGAAGACAGAGAAAGAGAGAGGGAGACGGAGACAGAGACAGAGACAGAGACATGTGCACGTGCATGTGTGTGTGCGTGCGCGCGCACACACACACAGAGAAACAGACAGACAGGCAGAGAAGAGAGACACAGAGAAGGGTAGACAAACAGACACACAGAGATAGAGGGAGACAGAGACAGAGACACACACAGAGAAACAGATAGGCAGAGACAGAGAGACACAGAGAAGGGCAGACAGACGACAGACAGACACACACACAGGGAGATGGAGATAGAGACAGAGACACACACACAGAAATAGACAGAGACAGAGAGACACAGAGAAGGGCAGATAGACAGACAGAGAGGGAGACAGAAACGAAGACACACACACGTAGACAGAGAAGACACAGAGACAGAGAGACACAGAGAAAGGAAGACAGACAGACAGAAAGACAGAGAGAGAGAGGTGTTCTGGGCAGACATTGCCCTGTGGGAATATGGACGATGACCAGGATGACGCTCTTCATACCTTCAGATTCTGCTCACCGCGCTCCAGAGTCAACGCCTCTGTTCTGTAATCACCCTAGTCAGGCGGCTGTGGAGCTCAATTATCTCAGTGGAAAGCTACATGTGGCCATCGTGGGGATGCTGTTAACACTCATTTGCAGGCTTGTTGTCAGTGAATTGCTTCTTCCTACTGAGAGAAGCTTGATGTGGCCACAGAAAACAGGTTAACAGATTGGAAGCAGAATGGGATTCTGCTCTGGCTGGAGGTTCAAATGTTTTCTTTGTGCTGTGAAAAGGTGCCAACATGGGTAGCCCTCCCCTGTGTGCCCCCTGCTCCCTGCCCCAGTGTCCTGGCCGGAGCTCTCTGCATTGAGGCGATGACATTCTGAAAACTTGAATTTGGAAATGTTGGGTTGTAGCTATACAGTAGTTGCTTGTGAGACTGCATCTGGAAACCGATCCAGCGCTCCTGAGAAATGGCTCCCCAAACACACAGTCCTTGGCACCTTGGAGCTTAATAGAATTTCCCCTAAACTGGGGGTGGGGGGCGAGTAATCTTAGTTTTGAGTTCAAGAAAGAAAAGTGATTGTTTCCAAGCTGCCGGCTTAGAGGTGAAGTAGAAATGATGACAGAGGACACCGTTTTTTTTTCCCCTCCTCCTCGCAAGCTTTTATTTTCTTTCAAGTGACTTTTTTTTTTTAAATCTCTGTTGAGATCGCCATGATTGTGATATGCACTCGTAACAAATGAGGGTGGGAGAAGTGGAAGTGGGCATAGCATCTGCGTTGCCATGGAGACATTATTGGACAGTAACCAGCTCTAAAGTGAAATAAGAGTGGTGGGGAGGGGGGAGCTGTGTGCTTCTCTGGGGTGTTCCTAGAGACGGTGTTCCTTCTTCACCAACCCATGCAGAAATCCAAGTGTGGGAGATGGTACCCCACACATCTTTCAAATGTGCAAATATTGCCGTTTCCTACAACGTCATGAAGATCTACCTTAAATCACAGCATGGTGCTTTTGCCTCCTGTTTTAGAAAAGTCCTCACAGTTATTCAGACATGGTAGAGAACTTGTTTGGAAAAGCCTTCCCATGATTCCTTCTGCTTCCTTTGCATTAACGCCCTTGTCATCCTAGCACCCTGACCCTGACTGGCAATCAGGGAGGCAAAAGACACTGAGATCATTTCTGCGAGCATCAGGCTTACTCCTGCCTGGGCATCACCTTCTTTCAAGTTCCTCCATTTCTTTAAAGGTCCCCCTCCCCTCGTGTTTCACACCCTCTTGGGCACTTCGAGCAGTATCCCATATGCAAGGTTCTAGACTGGCTATCTGGGTGTCGTGTGACCAAGCAGATAAGGAAGTTGTTTATCACAATGATTCCCATCATCCACCTGGATCATGTCCCCAAGCAGGAGCTGGACACTGAATCAAACACTTAACATGACAACATCAATGAAACATCATTTTAAGTCTCCTCGATACCTCCAGAATTCACTTCTTCTGAGTCACATAATGAATCATGGTTTACCAATCTATGCCCCCAGAGTTATTGCCAATGTGAAGACCTCATTTGTCCTTTTCTCCGAACCCTAGAATCTGCCCCATATTCTCAGGAAGGTCCAGTTGCGGTAGAATCGTCTGGACTATAAATAGGGTCTCTTCCGAGAATCTTCACTCGAGCCTCACTTTCATCAAGCCCTGACAAAAGGGTAGATCAGACTCAGCTATCTATACACTACAACACCACCCCATCCACAAATACACACACACACACACACACACACACACACACACACACGCACGCACACATGCACGCATATACACACACCAGCCATATGGGCACTGAGACAAGGGACAGGTGTTGGGAAGGGGTCTCCTCCTCTCGTATGTGAATGAGCTCATACGAGAGCTCTGTATTCGCCTCAAGTGCTTCTGATGTCAGGCGATCATGCGGCCACAGAGAGCCTGTCCTGCGTGTCTGAGCTTTAAACCATGCGCACCATAGTTTTGCCACTATTAGACATTTGAAAGCTATGAAACCCGATTAGAGAGAGGCGGGGGAAGTCAGCTGAAGGAAATAAATGAGCATAAACTGTGGCTGACAGTGTTAAGTGCAAGCCCAGACGCTGAGCTCCTTCCCTGGCCTCCCGGTCTCCCCGCAGTCAGACCCCCCTGGGATGTCTCTGCTTTCAGTGATTTGGCCTTCAGCGTGACAGTGTTCGTGGATTTCAACAGCAAATACACCTGTCTGGGGCTGCTGATAGTTTTGTTTTTTGTTTTTTTGCTTTCTGCCAATTTCTGAAGAGAATTCAAGGGAGAATTCTGCCTTTGTGCAACTGAAAGATTAGTCAGAACTTGTTTCTAACTTGCTTAACAAACCATAGCTTCTAAATAGTATTTCTTAGCACCAACCTCAGCTATAACCCAGAGCAAGCTTAAATAAAAAATTCTTTCAATATGTTGGCATTAGAGGTAAGAGGAAAGCAATACTCTTTCCTTCCTTCTTTCTTCCTTTCTCTCTCTCCCCTTCCTTCCTTCCTTCCTTCCTTCCTCCCTCCCTCCCTCCCTCCCTCCTTCCCCCCTCCCTATCTCTCTCCCTCCCTCCTTCTCTCTCCTTCCTTCCTTTCTTTCTTTCTTTCTTTCTTTCTTTCTTTCTTTCTTTCTTTCCTTCTTTTGCCACACAAAGAAAAATATAAGACTTATTTCCAATAGCAGTTCCAGATTGTCTGGGAAGGTTATTGGAATCCATCACTCATCTGGGGGTAGTATTCCATCCCCACATGATGATAGAGCTTTAGCTAGGAAGGTGCCTTCGTTTTCATCTAATCCAACTTTTTTGTTTGACAGTGGTTGAAGTGAAAGTCTGGGGGTGTGAAATGGTTTGGCCAAGCCCAGGCTCCTGGGCTGCGGTGAGAATTTCACCCGACTCCATGCACAGCTGGAAGAGAGAGCCAGGCCTGGCTGCGTTTCTGCAGGAGCTCTGAACAGTCCGCATTCTCCTTCCGCTCTCTCCTCCCGGCGACAGGTGTGCCACCATGGGTTTGTCTCTGTCTTCTTTCTGTTTCCAGGGCACTTAATGGGGAAGAAAAGCACAGGAGAGTCCCTGAATACTTATGAGCCGGGCATCCTGCAGGACCAGTTGCAGGAGTATCTTGGGTGGGAAGAAGCAGCAAGAAACTTGCTCAACGTCATGAAAGCCCAGGAGACCCGAGGTCATCGGTCACCTCCCCCACAGCCTCTGGGCAGTGGCCAGTCTGCTCCCCGGGATGGAGTGGAGCGCCAGGACTTTAAAGGGGTAGGTTCAAAACCTCCTGGGAAGGGGAGGGGAGAGGGTTTCTGGAGGGGGAAGTGGGGCATGTGTGAGCCAGGAAAGAGACGCTGGGTGACAGTACCCCCCTCTGAGGCATGGGAAGGCCATACCCAGGCTGGCTTTCCTCTTCACACCTCAGGAGGCTGCTGGTCCCAGGCCCCTGCTCAGGAATGATTAGCAAGTGTGTTAACACTTTTTAAAAAAAAAATTATTAGTGAAACACCAAGAGGTATGTTGCAGACTTACGAATTTTTGTGCTTGGGTTTCAGTTATACAATGATCGAGTACCCATCCCTCCACTGGTGCTCATTTTCCACCACCATGGGCCCCAGTATCCCTCCCACCCCCCATCCTCCCCATCCCACCCTGCCTCTGTGGCAGGGCATTCCCTTTTGTTCTCTCTCTCCTTTTGGGTGCTGTGGTTTGCAAAAGAGGCATTGATTCTCAAAAAATTAGAAATTGAGCTCCTATTTGACCCCACAATACCACTCCTGGGAATATATCCCAGAGAGGCAAAAAAAATATAGTCGAAGTGACGTCTGCACTTGTTTGTTCATTGCAGCACTGTTTACAACAGCCAGAATCTGGAAAAAACCTGAGTGCCCAAGAATAGATGACTGGTTAAAAAAACTGTGGTACATCTACACAATGGAGTACTATGTAGCTGTTAGAAAAAAGGTGTTAACATTTTTGATGTATGTTTTCCAATGTGCATGGATGGCTGTGTTTGCAACTTACCAGAATATTTTGACTGTGAAGCCATAAGTGATGTGAGGACACCCTGGTGGGTCTACACTGATTTGGGGAGGGGGTTCTGTTATTATTTTGCTTGGGGGCTACATTTGGTGGTCTTCAGGGCTTGCTCCTAGCTCTGTGCTCAGGGATCACTCCTGCCTGGTGGTACTAGAGGCAGTGTTGGTGGGGTTGGGTGGGCATAAGTGGTGGTGCAGGAGACTGAACCAGGGTCAGCTGAGTGTCGGGCAAGTGCCTTAACCCCTTACTATCTCCCTGGCCCTCCCGTAGTGATTTATTTGTCTATACTCAGAGATCACTAGGGGACCGTCTGGGTTGAAGCCAGGTCAGCCGTGAGCGAGACAAGCATCTGCCCCACTGTGCCGTCTCGCCCCGCCCCGCCACTCTGATATCTGAATGAACATCCGTGGAAGGCCCTGGGCACATTCTGCAGAAGAGAGAATTCTAGCTCGCCACCTTTTTTGTGTGTGTGCAACGGAGCACGGCTTCCTGTTTGTTCTGGGATCACCTAGTTCAGGTCTCACCATCATGTTTCAAAGCTTGGCAAGCGCAGCTAAGCTCTGCCAACTCTCCCGGGCGCGTTTCACGGCGCCAGATGACGGCGTTGAGGTACAGACAACTGCACAGTAAAACCGGCGGAGGAGAATGAGCTTCCGAAGCGAGGGACCTGGAAATGAGGCGATTCTCAGAACTTGCAGCTAGTGCCCAGGCAACACATACCGAGAAGCAAAAATACCCACTGTGGAAATAGCCTTCCCCCCCGACAGAGCCAGAGTGCGGAGTCGCGACTCCTTCCTGCGGGGGAAGTGGCTTCCTCCATCTCCTCAGTTCTTGCCAGGGCTGTGTCAGGAGGAAGATTCGGTTTCCTTCCCACTTTAGAGGAGAGGAAGCAGACATGAGTGTGAGACAAGCATTGGGGCCGCCGCCCTGGGCTGGTCGATATTGATCTTAAGCCCAAGCACTGGCCGCTGGACGAGGGGCCACTCCCGAAATCCCGAAAGCTCATCAGGCCTTGGCTGTGGGCGTGTGGAGGCTGCTCTTGTCTCCCCCGCGTTAGCTCTGGCTCATGGCCCCGGACAGAGGCTCCAGCTGCCCTGCCCGACGTCCCTGCAGGCAGCTCTCGGCCTCATGGGCTTTTGCAAAGCTGAACTCTGTGTTAAACATCAAAGAGAGTTCATTTCTTTTCTTTTTATGTCGGGGGGAGGGGACCACACCCAGCAATGCTCAGGGGTTACTCCTAGTTCTACGTTCAGGAATTACTCCTGGAGGTGCTCAGGGGACCATGTGGGATGCCAGAGATCAAATCCAGGTCGGTCACATGCAAAGCAAGCGCCCTGACTACTGTCCTATCACTCCGGCCCCTGAAAGTTCCTTTCTTGGCTAATCCCCAACATGAGTTATTTCCTTTCAGAAAGCAGATCTGGGTGAAAGGGTTGCACAGAACAGCGTGCAGGGAGCCAGTCTCTGAAACAGTCTCACCATGGCGGTTCTCTGAGCTCTGTGAAATTTGTGGCCGCTTCTCAGTGCCAGCCATCCTGGCCTTTGCTTGGTTCAGGTGTGGCTTGGGCTTCCCGGACCCCTCAAGCACTTCCTGGAGGTAGTCTTCCATCCAGAGGTCTTGTCTTGCAAAGGGGACCATCGTCATCACCTTGAAACCCTCTCAAATAATTTCCCAAGCATTAAATCGACATTCGATTGTCGATTGTCGATTGTCATCATGAATGACTTTAACTCATTCATAATGCCTGACTCTGCACTCAGGAATTACTTCTCTGTGGGGAGCCATATGGGACAATAGGGACTGACCAAATTTGGGTCAGCCACCTGCTAGGCAAATGCCCTGCCCTCATGCTTATCTCTCCGACCCCTCTACTCTCTCTTCTTCCGGGTTTGTTTGCTGCTGTTGTGATTTTTCCAGTTTTTCTGCTCTGTGTGGCATGGAGAATGCAGCCCAGGCCTCCTATGTTCCAGGTACATGCCCCGAACCTGCCTTTGTTCTTCTCTCTTCAAGTCTAGGAACCCCCCATTCCATTCCACTGCCATAGGTGCCCTTCTTGGGGGGGGGGATTTCCCAGGAAGTTTAAAATCAAAGTCCCTATTCTTAGCATCAGGCAAGTCTACCTAACACACTCCTCCGGTTTGGGAAATTTTACTTCAATGAAAATATATTGTAGGAAAATTGAAAACAATTTTTGGTGCTCATATTCCAAAAATAGGAGAAGAATTCTATTAGAAACCCAGACCTGTCTCACTTCTGTCGCGAAGCTTAATAGCATGGCCAAGATCAACAGCAGGGAGTCTCGGAGGCCGAAGGACTTTTCCTTAAAATTAAAAACTACGCACACACGCTGTCCTCTCTCGCATAGGTGAACAGACAGCAGGTCCAGCTGCCTGTCTTGCCGGCACTGTACTTTGAAAACCTGAGCTCCCTCCTCTGTTTTGATGACAAAGATACGTGCTTAATTCAGGAAAGAGTGGTGCAAACAGGCTGGGCAGTCAGTCAACTTTATTACCCCAAATAAGCTCCTAGACTTGAGCGGTGATGGTGAAGAAGTCCCAAGGCGAACCGTAACCTTTCTTTTAGCCACAGCCTTCTAACAATAACAGCAACAACAACAAGAAATAATCAGTGGAACTGTGACCTTCAGGGTCAGCTGCAAGGCCTTGTGTCATCCTTTAAGTGGCTGTGGAAAGCTCTGGAGCTCCTCGAAGGACAAAGTTGGATTTTGCTTGCCTTGGGAACCTGGACCTAGTTTCTTGTTTCCTGGAGCCTTTCCCCCCCTCCCTCTTCTTATTCTGTGGACCAGGAGAAAGGGACCCTAAGAATGCATCCCGGAGGGAGGGGCTCTGGGAAGAAGTAACTGCAAGTCTGCCCTCACTTTTTAGGATCTGTCCCATCAAAGAAAGCACCACAGAGAACAGAACACTTCCTTCATAGCTGAAACGCTCCAGAGGGCATCCTGGTACAGGCGAAGGACATGCAAGTAATGACCCATTGCCAGGGCTCAAGAGACAGCACAGGGGAGATGACATGTACCTGGCATACGGCTGACCCCGATTCCAACCCTGACACTGCCTCTGTTCCTCTGAGCACTGCCAAAGGAGTCAGCTTTGAGCACAGAGCCAAGAGCAAACCCTGAGCATGGCCAGGGGTGACCCCAAATCAAAGCTTAAAATAAGAAAAAAAAAGAGCGGAGAGTCTCGTGATCCTGAAAGTTTCTATGAAGAAGCAAAGCGAAGCTGACCCCCACTTTGAAAGCGGCTTCTTCTAGTCCACCCACCCCCAGCCTTGATCTTCCTGGAACACACACACTTCCTTTCCCCTGGATTCTTTTGAGTCAATCTGCTCAGATGCGCTGTCTTGGTCCAGTGGGGAGCTTCTTCTGGGGGGGGGGGCTTTCCCACATTTTATGAGCAGTTTTTTTTTCTTGCAAGATGAATAACAGCATCTTCGATCGGGTAGGAGGCCCTTTTCCTGGAGCAAAGCGAAGCTAATTGGCCTGCCTGGGACGGACGGGGCTCTGAGGCCTCGTTAGCACCGGGCCAGGGCTGCGAGCTGCAGGCAGGCAATGGCTACTCTGGGGTGGTCAGGAACTCCCGTATTAGAAACAAACTGCTCTGGAAACATGGGGGAAATCCGGACCCCCCAGAGACTCCTGGAGCGAGTAATCACCTGCCATGTGAATGAAGGTGTTTCCTCTCCTCTGCCAGTAAAGGGTGCCATGGAAGGGAACGAGGAGGTATTTCTGGTGGCCAGAGAGATAGTAGCACTGTAGCACTGTCCTCCCGCTGTTCATCGATTTGCTCAAGTGGGCGCCAGTAACGTCTCTAATGTGAGACTTATTGTTACTGTTTTTGGCATATCAAATACGTCATGGGGAGCTTGTCAGGCTCTGCCGTGCGGGTGGGATACTCTTGATAACTTGCCGGGCTCTTGGAGAGGGACGGAGGAATCGAAACCGGACTGGCCACATGCAAGGCAAATGCCCTGACCACTGTGCTATCGCTCCAGCCCGGAGAGATCATACGAAGGGGAAAGCATTTGCCTTGCATGTTTATACACCATCACCCCATAGGCTCCCCCCAGCACCGCCAGGAGTGGTCCCTGAGCACAGAGCCAGGAGTAAGCCCTGAGCACCTCTGGGTGTGCCCCCTACCTCTAACAGAAAGTCTATTTTGCAAGGATCGTTCCTCATGCTTTCTCAGTTTTAGTCTTTTTTTTTTTTTTTGCTTTTTGGGTCACACCTGGCGATGCACAGGGGTTACTACTGGCTCTTCACTCGGGAATTACTCCTGTCGGTGCTCAGGGGACCATATGGGATGCTGGGAATCGAACCTGGGTCGGCCGCGTGCAAGGCAAACGCCCCACCCGCTGTGCTATCTCTCCAGCCCCTCAGTTTTAGTCTGTTTCATTTTGTTTTCTGCAGTCATACTCATGGTGCTCAGGGGTCCTCTGGCAGGGCTGGGGTAGGGGGTGGGGACTAAGGTGTCAGGGATGGAACCTGGGTCAGCCGCATGCAAGGCAACTGCCTTGGCTTGACTCTCTCCCACCCCAGGATGACATTCCCGGGAAGGGGCCACCGATGGTTCTATTCGGCCTGACCCCACTCACCATGATTCTCTTGTGTCTTTAAGTGGGGGGACACCTCACACCAGGTTCGCCACAAAGAGGAAGACGCCCACACTTAAAGGGACATGGACAGCGGATCCCCGTGTCATGGAAGCAGAATCAGAGCTGGAGTGACTGCTGTCCCCACCGGCCTCTGCCCTCCCGACCCCGCACCAACCAGGCATCCTTCCTGCAGATAATTATTCTCGTACCTTCCAACATCGGCTCAACCGATGACTTTCAAGCAACTGCTTCTGGTTTGCCCTTGTTTGCCGTGACCTTGTCCACAAGGTCTGCCAATGAACGCTTCACGCCCAGGCGGCCCGTCCATTAGATTTCAGTCCCTGACCTGTGAACGGATCGCAATAAAACCTTAAACACGTTGTCCAAAGGGCGGGTAGTTCTTTTGTTTCCATGGCAGGGGAGAGGACAAGGCTGGTTGCCACGTTAGCTTTGCCCCTTTGCTGAGTCCTGGTAGGGATCCATCGTAGAGAAAGTGCTAGAAACTTCTCCTGGCTTGGTCATCACCTTCTGGCCAGCCCGGCTGGAGAAGAGGCTGGTGTTGTCACCCTCTGCAGTTCCCAGCTCCTCAGCCATCCTTTGACTAAGGATTTTGCCCAGGTGAGCGCTGTTCTCTCCACAAGCATTTCTCCACAAGCGTTTCATATGTGGAGCTCTCCCTCCCCAGGCTGGAAATGGCACTGGAGGGGCTGGCCATGTGCTCAAGGGAAGCAACAAATGGTTTGGGGGATTCAAACAACCAAGTCAGCATCTTATTTATTTATTTAAATTTAATCACCATGAATTACAAAGTTATTTGTGGTTGGGTTTCAGGGATACAATGTCCCAACACCAATCCCATCACTGTTCTTTTTCCTCCACCAATGTCCCCAATTTCTCTCTCCCCCCACCAGCCTGCCTCAGGATAGGCATCTATCTATCTTTCTTTCTTTCTTTCTTTCTTTCTTTCTCTTTCTTTCTTTCTTTCTTTCTTTCTTTCTTTCTTTCTTTCTTTCTTTCTCTCTCTCTCCCTTCCTTCCTTCCTTCCTTCCTTCTTTCCTTCCTTCTTCCTTCTTTTCTTCCTTTATCATCTTTCTTTCTTTCTTTCTTTCTTTCTTTCTTTCTTTCTCTCTCTCTCTCTCCCCTCCCTCCCTCCCTCCCTCCCTCCCTCCCTCCTTTCCTTCCTTCCTTCCTTCCTTCCTTCCTTCCTTCCTTCCTTCCTTCTTATTGGTTTTTGGGCCATACTCTGCGGTACTCAGGGGTTACTCCTGGCTCTGCACTCAGGAATTACTCCTGGCGGTTCTCGGGGGACCATATGGGATGCTGGGGATAAAACCGGACTGGCCAAGTGACAGGCAAGAGCCCTCCCTGTTGTACTAACGCTCCAGTCCAGGTTACTTTTTTTCTTTTTCCTCCTTTTCCCTTTAGGCACTGTGGTTTACAATACTGTTCCTCCAGGGTCTCATGCACACCTGTCTTTCTGAGGTCCTCGCGTCTCTTTGGTTAACCTGCTTCTCCGCAAATAGCACCACAGCTTCCAAATGCCTTTCTTGGCCTGAGGATGAGTCCCCACAGCCAGATGGCACTGGCCCGGCCACGGGAGGAGCCACATTCCAGAGCTGCCCTCCCCCTTGTTCCAGAACGTGGCCTGCCGGTTCCACCTGCAACCTGACACACTCACACACCTGGGTCTGACGTTGCACCCTCTGGAGATGCCCCCATTCTGCGCATTTGGGGGAGCAGAGACTGTTCCTTGCTCCTGCTTACATAGCCAGAGAGCCACAGGAGGCAAGGGCTTCTTCCTTCTTTGTAAAAATCCACACCCAACCCGAGCACTGAGGAGACAGCCCATGGGTCACCCACAAGCCGGACCCTAGTGGCTCTACACTGTCAGGCCGACTCACTGGACCACAGCCTATGGACTGGGTAACACTGGGAGTGGACTCCCTGAGCACTGGTTGGGAGACATGCCCCCAATCACATTGCTCCCCAACTGTACAGAACTCTTTAGTTGGGACGGGAAGAGATACTGTTTACCCTGCCCTCTGCCACCCTCTTCTCGAGAGTGTCTCCCCAGAATTGGGTCTGGCAGGCGGCACATGACAAGAGGCTCTGAAAGATGTGCCTCCGGACCCCTCATGAAGGTGAAAGATGACTTCCGGACCCCAAGCAGGCTTTCCCTGGGAGGAAGAGAGAGATGGGGCCCCAAAACAATCTCACGGAGACCAGAGTCTCACCCCATTTCTGAACCCAGGCCTTCTGGCCTAGTTTCTTTCCTGTGCCAAACCCCATGCTCCCACCACCACCATTCTACTTGTTGGTCTCCTAGGCGCATGCCCCCCATTTATGAGGTGTATACCTGTGCCCCCTTTGGGAAACCCTATGGGCCGACAGGAGTCAGCGTGAGAGAGGCGGATCGTGCTTCCAAGGTCTGATTCCTATTGTGGGCAGATGTGCTCCTGTATGCTCACTGCTCTCAGTTTTTGTTCCTTTGGTTTATTTTTACTTTTGTGCCACAGAGGGCAGTGCTCAGGGATCACTCCTGGCAAGCAGATGACATCAGAAGAGGTTGCTTAAACCTCCAAAGCCTTGTCAGGTTCCCCTGAGCTGGGCCCAAGTCAAGATGGGCTCCCGCCAGCTGCGAGATCTCTTCCTACAAGCAGAGTTTTCTCCGACCCTTCCAATCCAACACCTGGACTCCCTGCACAAATCTGTGTGTGTCTGCTGGCTCAGGTGGGTTTTGACGGCAGGTATCTGGATCTGCTCTGGGTTGTTGAAGTAGAAAAGGAAAACTTGACAAGGAGAACAGTAGGCCAGCAAGACCAGAGAAAGGGAACTTGCAGGTCCAGAGCTCAAATCCAGGCCTCTCATCCTTCCGTTCTGTAAAGCTGTCTGAATCACACTCCCTGTTGGTGTCCTGTGGGCAGCATTGCCCCCTGAAAGCCCTTTCTGTCCTTGGTTCACTTGCAAATTAGCTTTAATGGCTTATATTGGTGCAAAGAAATCTGATTAAATCACTTGTTGGTATCCAGTTCAAGGCCAGCTGGGGGTTTAGCTTTTAAGGTGCTACTTTGGGACTAAAATTACGGGGTGTGATTAGAAAGAAGACAGGATACTCCAAAAACATGGTCAGCCACCCCTAGTGAATATGCCCTTAAAAAGGGGATTCATTTCCGATCCGAGTTCGATTCCTCTGCCCCTCTCGGGGAGCCTGGCAAGCTACCGAGAGTATCTCACCCACATGGCAAAGCCTGGCAAGCTACCCGTGACGTATTCAGTATGCCAAACACAGTAACAATTGTCACAATGGAGACGTTACTGGGCCCGCTTGAGCAAATCAATGAACAACGGGAGGACAGTGACAGTGACAGTGACATTTTTAGCCAGAAAAGGAATCTCCCTCTTTGGCTCCTGCCCAGCTCTATTCTGGAGAGGAGTTCACCCTCCCCACCACCTGGCTGGGATCCTGTCACAGAAACTGAAGGCTGTCCTCCCCAGCACACAAGGTCACTTTGGAGAGGTGACAAGATCCAGAAATCCTTGCAACAAAACACGGTAATCAGGAGGAAGAATCCAAAAGGGAAGAAGGCAGTAACTGCCTTCCAATTTGTTCTTTTTTAAAAAAAATCCTTCTCTCTTTTTCAAAAATGCCCCCAAATGGGCTGCTCTGGGTAATCCAGCCGTCTTCAACTCCCCTCAGAGGCTCTGCAACGCTCACACTCGACAGGCATTTCAAGCAATTCGGGCATTTCAGTACAGCTTCAAACCCCCCAAGGCCCACCTCTCCATTCCAATGGGGGCTCCTTGATTCTGGAAGAGCGTTTCAGCCCCGCTCGGCTGTGCAGTAAGCAAGCTCAAATGGGGGCCTGCAGAGGCTCTGATTCCTCACTCACAGGCTGCCTTAATTAGATGCTGAAAGAGCTCTCCAAGGATAGGCACTGCCTGAGACATGGGGGGTGGGGATTATAGGGGTGACACCATCTCCTTCCGGGCAGGGCTCCACTGATCCCCTCTCCATCCCCTTCTTTTTTTTTTTTTGGTCACACCCTGCAATTCACAGGGGTTACTCCTGGCTCTTCACTCAGGAATTACTTCTGGTGGTGCTCGGGGGACCATATGGAATGCTGGGAATCGAACCCAGGTCGGCCACATGCAAGGCAAACGCCCTACCTGCTGTGCTATCGCTCCAGCCCCTCCATCCCCTTCTTAACTGGGCCCAGACTTAACAGAGACCTCTTGCCATCAGTTTGGTCTTGCACCACCACAGGGCAGAAGCCTGTGGAGTCACTGACCTGTACACCTTCCTGCCAAGGGATTATGGACACAAAAAGCATCCAGCAAAATAATTTGTGTAGTTTCTGCATTTAACAAATGGTATCCAGAAAGACATTTCTGCATTTTACCAATGGCCTCCAGGAAGACAATACTTACCGCTTCTGCATTTCCTTTTCCTCCTGGTTTTGGGTAATGTTTTTCTGTTTTCCAGCATACTCTGCCGGAAGAGGACAGTGGGTGGCTTAGATTGCAGACCCAGAAGGTGTCAATCACTCATGTGGCTGGTGAGGCTCAGTGTGTGTGTGTGGGAGTCACAGAGCAGGGGGGATGGTACCCCTCACTCCCACATACTTGATCTAACACGGAGCCTGATGGGCAGGAAAGGGCTGGGAAACCACGAGAGTCCTAGTCTGACACTCTGACACTCGTGTCCTGCTTTTGCCCAGAAGAATCCAACTCTGGATTCCCCACTACTGAATCTCCCCAGCTCTGACCCAAGAAGATGGGGGGGGGCTATCCCAGCGGGGACCACCACTTCCCGGAGGGGCCACGGTTCTGGGCCACGAAGCACACATTTCTCTGCCAGACAAGTCAGTCTGTGGTGAAGTTCTCCCTATCGCCAGCAGATGGCACTCTCGGCCAAGTTATGCCGGGTCTCCTTTATTCATTTGTTTCTTTTTCTCCAGCCAGAACATTGCAGCATTGGTCCAAACTCTTCACTTCACTGCCCAGCTGAATTTAGCCAGAGGGATACTACCTTGAGTGAAGCACAGATCAAATCCCCCGCAGAACTGGGAGTTCAGTGTCAACGCCATTTAACACGGCTGCACAGAGAAGTCTAAGCCTGTTGAATGGTACAAGG